AGTTCCTGGAGGGCCGGAGCCCTGCAGAGTTTAGACGCAACCCTAATTAAACACACTTGATCCAGCTAATCAAGTAATTTAGGCTTATTTGAAAACTACATGGTTTGAGTGTTGGAGCAGGGTTGGAACTAAACTCTGCAGGGCTGCGGCCCTCCAGGAACTGAGTTTGACACCCCTGCTCTAGAGCTAAGCACTTTGTTATATCTGAAAGGGGTGGTTCATTTCACTTTTTTAACCAATAATCCACACCACTCCAGTCCATCAATTAATGACTTGTGAAGTGAAAAGCTGTGTTTGTAACAAATTCATCATTAAGACATTAACTTCTAACAGTTGCTTTTGGCTAAAATATGAGTCCTCTATCCATAATATTGCTTGTTCCAGTGAAAATTTCATCTTGCCTGAATTAGGAGAGAAAAATGTACAGATCAAGCATTGTTTACAAGCAAAAAGTCCAGTTCTAAACAAATATGTGGGTGGATTTTATGGACTTTTTTCTTTCTTTTTTTACTGGAGGAAGCAGATTATATTTTGGCCAGAAGAGACAGTTTAACATTAAAAATGCCTTAATTGATTGATTCTTTGATTTGTTGCTCACAAACACTTAGCTTTTCACTTCACAAGTCATTAATTGATGAACTGGAGTGGTGTGTTTTATTGTGATGTTTTTATCAGCTGTTTGGACTATCACTCTGACGGCACCCATTCACTGCAGAGGATCCACTGGTGAGCAAGTAATGTCTCTTGGAGTGAACTATTCCTTTAAATGCCTTTGAGTCCAGTTTGATGAGCAGTTTAACCTTGGATGAAGTACTGTACAGGTAAAGTATGGGTAAAATCTGCCCTTCTGAACCAGTGGATCAGGATTGTTCAGTGTGTAACAATAGTACCGTCACTATAAAGAGGATTAAGTGAGAATATTGTCACATATTTACTCTATAGTGTCGATGTGGAATAAAACATCCAGACGTTTTGAGAAAAACATTGAGAGAAGATAATGTAAAAATAAAAAATTAATTAACTTTCATATTCACTCACATATTTTTGTTGCCAGGAGACTAAATTGCTCCTATAAGATTAAAACAATACTGTGTTGTGTTTTACCATGTAACTTAAATGGTTAGTTCACCCAAAAATGAAAATTAGCCCATACATTACTCACCCTCAAGTCATCCTAGGTGTATATGACTTTCTTCTTTCAGACGAATCCAGTCAAGAGTTATTTAAAAAATTGTCTTTGATCTTTCAAGCTGTTTAATGGCACTCAGCGGGTGTTGCATGCATCAGTCCAAAAGAAGTTAAATAAAAAGCGTCCATCCATAAAAAAAAAGTGTCTCACACGGCTCCAGGGGGTGAACAAAGGCCTTCTGTAGCGAATCGATGCATTTTTGTAAGAAAAATATCCATATTCAAAACAAAATAATCACTTTAATGTAGCTTGCGCCAACAGTTGTACACAGAAGCAGCTCCGGGCTGATGATGTATGAGGTCAGTGTTGCGCATGCGCCGGTGAGTCTCGTGAAGACCAACGTTTGTTAACAGGAGCAAAGGAAGCAAAGTTTCCTTACTTTAGCAAAGGAAAACCAGTCTCCTCTTGGCTTATATCGAAATCCTCCGACATTCTTCTTTACAAATCCTCGTTTTGTACTTCTAATAAGTGACCATTGTTTTGTTTTGATCTCTCCTCTGCGCTTCCGCGTGCGTCACTTCTGAGCGGCGCATGCGCAACGCTGAACTCTTACGTCATCTGCTTCTGTGTACATCAGTGAGCGCAAGCTACATTAAATTGATCATTACGTTTTAAATATGGTTATTTTTCTTACAAAAACGCATCGATTCGCTACAGGAGGACTTTGTTCACCCCCCGGAGTCGTGTGAGACACTTTTTATTAAGGATGGGCACTTTTTATTTAACTTCTTTTGGACTGATGCATGCAACACCCGCTGAGTGCCATTAAACAGCTTGAAAGATCAAAGACAATTTTTAATATAACTCCGACTGGATTCGTCTGAAAGAAGAAAGTCATATACACCTAGGATGACTTGAGGGTGAGTAATGTATGGGCTAATTTTCATTTTTGGGTGAACTAACCCTTTAAAGCAACTCTACATAGTTTTGTGTATTTTCACGACTTTGGCGCCCCCTACAGTCAAGTGAGTGGAATTCACTGTCGTAAATATACCACTATCGTAATTAGCCTACTGTACAGTAGATTCTAATGCAGGCTGTAAACCTGCATTTGTTGCTGCCTTTCACCAAACTTAGATACTCAAGGGAAAGAAACAAAAAACATTTGTCCTATTAGATCTAAGTGAAAGATGACTCAGAACGATTTTGAAACTGATATTTCAAGGTAAAAAAATACTGCATAGAGTTGCTTTAAAATGAGAAATTATGATCCAGAGCAAGTCCCAAGTACGTTGACGCCAACTTCTGGCCATGTTAAGAACTGAAATGCTTCAAAACAAACCAACAGTGCTGAACCAACCATTGATAAACCTTGAAATATTGCACATGTAATTATTGTCAATATCCTTCTTTTAAATATGATACATTCAGATTATTTTAACAACCAAGACTGCAAATTTACATCATTATCTAGTGAAAAATTTAGAGATGAACTTCAACAAGGGTCCTTGGAATGCAGCATCCTGAAGCACTGAAACTTTCAGCGTTACCATATCAGCATCATAATTATTAAATTTATCTAGTTATAATCGTCAGCTTTTTAAGGTTTAAATATGTCTGGTTAATACTGTGTACACTGGAAAGTGTCATTTTTGCAATGTTTCTGGAGCTGATCTCAAAACCTTCTTTGAGGGCACTTTCTTTTGGTTGAAAAACTCAAACACAGACAGTAAATATCAGTCAGTCCTTTACATTATGAACAATGTACTTATATAATTTTGACATGGTATACTCTCATTTTAAGTGTACATACCAGTGGTCTGCTAATTTTCTTAATGTTTTAATGCCAAATATGAGCCTTCAACCTCATTTTGGTTACAGTTTACGGTCAGTATTCCAGACCACTGTTCCTTGTAGCATGAATGGTTTATGTAGTGTAAATGTGCTTTAGCAGCTAACACTGTAAACTATTAAGTATTGCCACCATAAAATGCTAGTTATTGACAATATAGTCAAGGCCAAAGGTTTGCAAAACACCCTAAAATGTGAACTGATACCTGTGAGTGTTAAACAAATATATGAGCATATCTATTGATGTGCATGCTTAATTTGCATAATCATTAAAAAAATTCAGATGAGTCATATAATGGAACAATGTGCAAGTATTATTTTTTCTTTTATTTAAATAAATAAATGCTTGATAGCTTGATTTTTTTAGCACGTTTGCAAACATTTAGCCATGACTCTATATGGAGAATTTCAATCACCTACACAATGACATTTACATTACGCTTGTGCTAAATAACTAAACGGGCAGCTAAAAACGAATTCTCGCATTAAATATCTAAATCTTAGTAATTGTTATTTTGTAGAAGCAACATCAATTCACTGATCTGGATTCTATCTAGGTTGTTTATGGAGCATGTTTGCACTATTGAAACTACACAACACCTCATCTATACTACAGCTCAATGGAGGAACACAGTCTTGAGGGCATTCGGTCTTCATACTTCAAAAGTAGCATGAGCTCTGAATATGTCTGTTTCACACAATGGTGTATAATTCATGGATATCATACAGTTGACCTGAAACAGTTATTAACCAGGGTATAAATCAGCTTTGAGGAAGAATCTTTTCCCTGGTGAAGTGTTACATTCCCCAGATCATCGTCTGTCACTGTGACATTTATAAAGTGCCTCCATCTATTGTGCTTAGAACGGTTTTCCATGCAATGTGAATTATGCCTGTTACAATACAGGTGTCTCAATGCCCCCATGAATGCATACCAAATTAAGATACATATATGAACACATATGGGTGCCTTGGAATCTGCATATTCCACATCTTTGAAACTCCTTGGAATGGGAAACATTGGAAAGCAGCTTTCCTAATACTGGATGACTTGGAATTGCAAGCTGGTCCTGGTATGGAAGAGAGGCTTCAAAAGATGGCAGGGCAATGACTCCAGTCCTGTCTGTCTTTGGCTTCCCAGTAGCCTCTTTTATACACGTAGCTGCTCTCAGCTGTCTCTGTATCAGTCCTTTTCTCAAACCACAAGGGCTGGTGGCTCTCGGCCTCCTTACCTGTCAAATCCAGGACAAAACATCTTCAGTGAGATACTCTCCTACTGTTTGTACTGTATACTGCCTACTAGGTATATGAAACAATATGAGCATGTGAGGCTGTGTCTTACCCTCTTCTAGTGCGAGGTTGGCCTGCGCCTCTCTCTTCCTCCTCTCCAGTCTCTGACGCTCCTCCAGACGCTGTTTCTCAGCATTAGCTTCATCCCACAAGCCCGCCTCCATCAGTCGTTGGTCGGGCCGTAGGCGGCTGTCAGTAGGGGCCACGCCATCCTCCAGCTCATTCAGAGTCAAAGCCAAAGAAGAGAAGTAATGCATGTTCTCTGCATTTTCACTGGAATTACAGAAGAAAGAAGAGAGAGTAGAAATTTACTGAAAAAAATATTAAAAGATAAATATATCAGGGCTTGAAGTTAAATTGTTTACTTGGTAGCACTGGTGCTTCCAACTTCAGAAAGTTAGAAGCACCAGCAAAAATTAATGAGCACCACAAGTACAATTTATATATACACTAAAAGATTTCATCCTGACGATTAAAAGCTTCAATCAAACCAAATCCTGAATTCTTTGCCACACACTTGTCCCAGCATTTCTTGTGGTTGCCACACTCTCTCTGTGTTTAATCAAGCTCTCACGCTTCAAATATTTGGATTCAGTGGCAAACACAGTCTGTCCCATGGGCTTTACAGTGAATGCAGTGCATTGAGCCGTTTTCACAGCACAAATGCTCCCAAATATATTTTGAGGTTGCACAGACTAAATTTCTGGAGCATATGCGATCAAAATGGTCACAATGTCGAACCTTATATAAATAATGAGAATATGATATAAAAAGACAGACAGAAAGATAGACAAGACAGACAGATAGATAGATAGATAGATAAGATATTTACGGCAGAGGGTATTTCTTCCACATTAGTTTTGGTGGTAGAGTCTGATAGACAGTTTTCTGTTTGCCTTCAGATCCTCCACAGCCGTGGCTGCTCTCTATGATCTTTGCACTTTCCATTTTATCATCCCACGTTCCAGAGAGAATATAGTGGGCACAGCCTTCACCATCCATCACAACGCCTGTTACCTATGGACAGGAGGACACACAGCACTCAGTCTTGAGGTTACACTCATTACCCAGCAGAGGGTAGCAGCACACAGCCTCACATTTCACATGCTAGAAAACTGAATAAGGGTGATTGATACACAGACTGACCTTGCGGGGAACATCCCTGGAAAAATAGCTGTATGGGGAGAATTTGAGGTGGCATTTGTCCTTGTTCCTGTGGTTCATGATTATAATGTCCCCAGACTGCATCAGGACAAAGAGTCATACATCAATAATAATGACAGAGCTGCAGTGATGAAGAGCGAGTGTTTGGATTAGAGTTAAGTGACATGAAATGAACATTTATTAAGGAAGTTAATCGGATCTATTTTGATTTCATGCCTTGATGGTCAATTCATTTTAACTGTATTCCCCACTGATTTAATCCAGAGCTGTAATAATTGTTTCCTGTTTCCTCTGCAGTGAGAACGACAGATGAAGAAGAACAGTGTCAATGGTGACTTTTCTCAAACAGATGGAGTGCAGAAGATGAGTAATGCCTCAACACGTGGACACGAGGACTCCAACCATACAGTTTACTCAAAAATGAAAACTCTGTCATCATTTAATCACCTTCATGTTGCTGCAAACCCATATGACTTTTTTTCTTCTGTCAAATCTGATGTAACACATCAAATGTTTTTATTTGAGCACCACAATAAAGATTTTAGTAAATAATTATTTCAATTTCAACCAGTTTCTCAAACAAATTTATCATACAGCTTCAAAAGACTTCAAAACAATTAATTTTTTTCATTAATTGAAAGAAAGCTGAAATAAAATAAAATAAAAATATTACATGGAAAAGTTAAACTAAAAAAAAAATGAAAAATTAAATGTTGCCGTGGCAACTGACTGAAATAAGTTTACATTGAAGTACTAAAATTGAACTGAAAAAAACAAAAATAGAAAAGCTAAATAGAAATTAAAAAAGCACACTATGAAATGACAAACATAAACTGAAATTAAAATGGTAACTAAAATATAAAATAAAAGCTAATTCAAAATATTCATAAATATAAATATAATGATAATAAAATAACTCTGGTATACAGAGCATGAGCCTTTTTATTACTTTAATGACACCTTTATGTATATTGTGTGTGTGTGTCACTTTAAAGTTTGTCAGCACCTCTCCCCATTCACATTAATTAAATAGAAAAAAATAACCAGGATATTATTCTTAAAAAAAAATCTCCTTTTGTGCCATAAATTTAGAAGGACATGTGTAATGTGGAATGTTATGTGTAATATGAACAGCTAACGAACAAAGAGAAAGGAGAGAAAAGAGAATGAAACCAGGCACATACTTGATCTATCCATAGTTTGCCCACGATTATATTGTGCACAGTGGAGGTCACCTTACTCCACACATAATGATTCCCACTGGCGTGGAACTTCAGGTGAATGTTGCCTGCAGAGAGCAAAGAGGGGCATTGTGATCAAACAACGGCAGGAGAAAGAGAAACATGTACATGGAAATAAAAGCGAACAAGGTTGATTCGCTGTAAAAATATCTCAAAGCTACAGAGAGATCTGCAATAAACATCAGTACAAAAGGTTCTATAAAACCATTTATACCATTTCATGTGGTATACCACTATACCATTTCACAAATGAAATTTTCCTTTGAAGTACCTTTTACCTTGAAGCAGCACATCTATACAGACACTACAGGTAACTAATGTTGTTTTTAATCCTAGCCTATGAGTTTTCAAAATGGGGGGCAGATTTTGTTTATTTATTTTATTATTTATTTTCTTTTTACACATTTTCTGAATTTACGTATTAAAACGCTGGTCAGAAATCATGAGATAATATAATTATATATATATATATGTGTATATACAGTATATATGACATATATTTGTGTATATATATATTCACTTATACATATATATATATATATATAGTAATATAGTATAGTAATATATATATATTCACTTATACATATATATATAGAGTAATTCTAATATAGTATAGTAATATATATATATTCACTTATACATATATATATATATATATAAATGACTAAATGTAAATGTAAATGTAAATATATATATATATATAAACTTTATATATTATAAACTTTGTTCTAGTCAATCAATGTATACTTAATTTATCACTAGAAATTGGTTATTGGTCTAAAAGGAGCCATGACTGACGGATTTCGTATCTGTGTCTGTGAGTAATGACGTGAATATGCTCTAAAGGTGACTCATAGCTCAAGATGAATCACCTAGTGGCATGATAGAGATGTATTTGCCACGAAATTTGCTGTCGATGGTGATCTCCTGCCACAGGGTCCAGCCTCGCTGTGATATCACATGGTGGGCAGCCGCCGGAGGGTGATGACTTATCTGAGAGAGAGGGTGAGAAAGAGCTGATCAATGTGTCACATAATCACTGACAACATTTAATGCATTAACTATAAATAGGTAAGTAAAATATGTTACATATATATTATTTTATACATGTATATTTTACCTGTTCACAGATGGAGCGGTATCCATACTCCTCCACACGGTCCAGCTCATAGGTCTCTCCCAGCAGGGGGTTGAAGGGTTTCCCTGTGCGGTGGACGGTGGTTGAATAAGACGAGACGGAGAAGGCGGCCACCAGACACATCTGCTCCAGAGAGGAGTCACAGCGTGCCGCCCGGTCCAGGAGCTCGCTGTATTCAAGATCCTCTGTCAAACGCTGCAGCATCGATAACGGCTCGTTGAAGTTCACCTGGAAGTGAGGATTCAGACACACACAGATATATGTCAGATATATGTATATGACTGGAGTGGTGTGGATTAATGTTTTTATCAGCTGTTTGGACTCTCATTCTGATGGCACCCATTCACTGCAGAGGATCCATTGGTGAACAAGTGATATATAGCACAAGATCTGAGGCTCCTCTTACAGGCATGGGGATTTTAGAGAGCTCCTTTCCAATGCAATTCTTCATGATGCTCCACAGGTTCAGGGAGTAGTTGGGCTTATCTGGGATACGACAGCGTCTGCCCCTGCGCAAGTAGCTACCAGAACCGTCCTGTAAACACAGAGAAAACAGTATAGAGAACAAACATCTTAATTAAGATTAACATTATTTGGCATGTGTGGTTCTGTTTGGATATGTTATGAATAAACAAAGCCCAAACTCACATTGTCATCCTGGCTCCAATTACTGGATAAACTTCCACTGGTCACGTTCTGATTACTGCTCAAGTGTCTGAGACACACACACACACACACACACACACACACACACACACACACACACAGAAACACAAGTGAGGGCTGAAATACCAAATTGCTTCTTACTGTAAATATGTAATGTACTCACAAGCCACACTAGGGGAAGATCATTCATTATTCAGGCATAGAGTAGATAAACACTGTACAGATACTGTAAAACAATTTGTTGTGCGCAATATTCACAATAACATTATTCCACTTAGCATCCACTTATTTTGGCCAAGAACTGCCCACTTATACAGGAAGAGATCATCTAACTTACATGAAAGCACCACTTAAGCCAAGGGAAGGTACATCCAAAATCAATGACACCTAAAAATTATTCAAATAATTGTGCAGCAGTCTCAGCACATTAATATGATATGACATATGATGCCCATTTTCCACAAGTTGATATGATTCTTTAGGGTCTTAATGAAAAGTCTGTAACATAGTTTGGTTAAAATTTCTCAATGGTAGTGTAAAAACACCTTTTTTTACCGTGTCAAAAACAGCTTTTTTCAGATCAAGCCGTTTTTGTAGCGTTTCCCTTTAAATGTTAATGAGCTCTGCTGACCCCGCCCCTCTCTTCCGAGCTGCTCTCAGAGAGACTGTTTAATTTGCATGTAGCATCCTATGACCCCTTTAAGAGAAATAGCTAAAAAATAGTGTAAATTGTGAAAACTAAGATCACCCTAAGTGAGCTAGTAAAAACTGGGCACTCTGACTAAGCTGAGAAGCTGAGTACAGCCAATCAATCCAATTTGAGCTTGTTACTTTATCAAACTCTTGTCATTATATGCATCAGATGGTCAGTGAATGGACTGTGATGTCTAGGCCTGTGACTAAAAGCCACATCATATATGATCTTTATATATATAAACCTGTGTTGTGAGTGATCGTCTGCAGGCACTGTGATGAAGGCAGGAGAATCTTCCATGGCATCAAAGAACTCTATGTCTTCATTCTCTTCACTGGATTCTCCCTCCAGTGTTCCCTCTGCACCTTCTGAAGATCAACACATGGAAAGTCTGGATTTAATGATGGGTCAGCATTATAAAACTGAGTGTTACATTTTAAGCCTAGCCTGTAATAACATACAGAAAGCAAAAAATTATTTTCATGGATTTACATACTTTGTTATGGTGCTTGCATTGCAAAGCCAGTAAAACTAATATAATTCTCAAAATAAAATAATTAATACATTTTAATTTAAATTTTACTTAATACATTTTAATAACAAAGGGAAAGAAACAATAACACTAGAGTTCAAGAGTTTGTGGTCAGTAAGTTTTTTTCATGTTTTCAGGAAGTCTCTTGTGCTCACCAACTTATTGAATTTATTTGATCAAAAATACAGTAAAGACAGTAATATTGTGAAATGTTACTATGATTTAAAATAATTGCTTCTATTTTATTATCTTTTAAAATGTAATTTATTCCTGTGATGTTCAGCATCATTACTCCAGTCTTCAGTGTCACATGATCAGAAATCATTTTAATATGCTGAATGGCTGCTCAATAAACATTTCTGATTATTATCACTGTTGAAAACAGTTGTACTGTCAACATTTTTGTGGAAACATAATCCATTTTTTTTTCAGGTTTCTTTGATAAATAGAATTTATTTGAAATAGAATTTTGGTTTATTATTAAAATATCTTTACTGTCACTTTTGATCAATTTAATGCATGCTTGCTGAATAAAACTATTATTTTCTTTAAAAAAAAAAACTCAATGGCCCTAAACTTTTGAATGGTAGTGTACACTAAAACTATTGTATAATTCTTGTAATATAGTTCACATGAGTCAAAAGAACAACTTTTAAGGTGTTTTATGGTACTTTTTGTCCTTTTTAAGGCATGACAGCTCCAGTTTATTCTTCACACTCAGTGTAGAGAAAATAGCAGTTTGGATATTCTGCAAAACATCGCATTTTGTGCTCCACAGACAATGAAAAAGCCTCACTATTGTGTGTGCTGGGCGATTCTCTCCAGGCTCTCTCCAGACTGTCGTGCTGTTTGGCTAGCTGCTCGATAGTCTCCTCCAGGTGGTGGCGCTGTTCCCTCTCATACTGTAGAGCGCGCTGCCACCGCCGGCTGTGTGCCTCCGCTAGATCCACAAAGTCCTGGCAGGCCTGTTCCAAAAACCAGCCCAATCATTCATATTCATCATTCATTTTCTGGTACAGATTCAGCCATTTTTAAAGGGGTCATAGGATGCCCATTTTCCACAAGTTGATATTATATGTATTTTTATGCTAAAATGTCCGGTTTAATATGCAGAGTCAACTATAAGTAAGCCATTGAAACTCACATTGATCATAGCATTGGAAGTGATGCGGAAGAGAGTGGCTCGCTCATTGACGGTCTTCAGTTTATCTGCGCCGTCAGTGGGGGCCCGCAGGTCCTCCAGTTCGCTGAGGGAGCGCTGGAGGGCGGCGCCGTGTTTCCCTATGAGCTCGTTGCAGGTGCTGAGGTCTTCAAGCTTGCTGGCCAGAGTCTTGAGCGCCCCCTGGATCAGAGCACGATCTGGCTGGGCTAGTGGACCCTCATCACCAGAGTCATCTGCAGAAAAGTTAAATGGAGAGATAGACGCCAAATTAAAAGATATATGTAAGTATGTATAGTAAGCTCAGTTCTTGGACCACTTCTCTTCTCTGTCTACATGGCATCACTAGGTTCTGTCATTCAGAAACATGGCTTTTCATATCACTGCTATGCTGATGACACTCAACTCTACCTTTCATTCCATCCTGATGATCCGACGATAGCTGCTCGCATCTCAGCATGTCTAACAGACATTTCTTGCTGGATGAAGGACCATCACCTTCAACTCAACCTGGCTAAGACAGAACTGCTTGTGGTTCCATCAAACCCATCGTTTCATCAAAATTTCACCATTCAGTCAGGCACATCAATCATAACTCCTTCAAAAACAGCCAGAAACCTTGGAGTTGTGATTGATAAGCTGACTTTCTCAGACCACATTGCTAAAACTGCCCGGTCCTGCAGATTTGCTTGAACTCCTTGTTCAAGCTCTTGTTCTGTCCAGGCTGGACTATTGCAATGCTCTCTTGGCAGGTCTTCCAGCCAGTTCTATCAAACCTTTACAATTAATCCAGAACTTCAGAATTAAGAATGAATCCAGATTAATTTTTAATGAGCCGAAAAGAATGCACGTCACACCTCTGTTTATCAATTTGCACTGGCTACCAGTAGCTGCTCGCATAAAATTCAAGGCATTAATGGTTGCCTACAAAACCACCACTGGCTCTGCACCCCTTTACCTAAATTCATTACTTCAGACTTATGTTCCCTCTAGAAGCTTGCGTTCTGCAAGTGAACATCGCTTTATCCCAAAGAGGCACAAAATCACTTTTACAGACTTTTACATTAAATGTTCCCTCCTGGTGGAATGACCTACCCAACTCAATCCGAGCAGCTGAGTCCTTAGCCATCTTCAAGAATCGGCTAAAAACACATCTCTTCCAT